AGCAGGAAGGACGAGGAAAAGCTTAGAGGGGCAGAGGGAAATCTCAGAGCTCTCATTATGATTTTGCAGAGCCCCAAAGGCTTCCTAGAGCACACTTTGAGAACTGCTGACCTAGATAATGGATACAGACATCTGTAAAACCCCACCTTCCTGCACTACTGTGATTCTTTTAAAAAAATGTTCATATTATGATCATTAAAAACAAAAACAAAAAATCACAGATATAAGGAAAAATAAAAACAGATGGCTTGGGAATGGCAAGGAGAGAGGGTGAGCAAAGAAGTAGAAGAGTTCCATGGTACTAAAAAATGTTATGGGAAGATTGTAGAATTAGATTGAAGAATCAATATAAAAAGTAGCTAAAGTCTAAGGCTGTATATTTTGCTATTAAACAGCTCTTACCAGGAAATTCTTTCTAGTATCATAATTCATAGCTCGCAGAAGAAAACAACCTTACTCCATTTTCAAAATGAGTCCCTTTCAACTATTTAAACATGGCTTGAATGTCCCTTTTTAGGCTTATTTTCTCCAAGGTAAACATACCCAGCTCCCTCAGCTGTTCTTCATAGGACTTGGCTTCCAAACTTTTCATCATTTGGGTGGCCCTTCTCTGGACACATTCTAGCTGGTCTTGAATTGCAGTGCCCAGAACTGAACCCAGTATGATGTTTACATGTACAATGTTTTAATAGTTTTAATTCATATTTATGTTTATTGATATTAGTTAATGTTATGTATTGCTTTTTATGTATATTGTGGCATTGAATTTTGCCAAATTGTAAGCTTTTGTCGTGTCAGGAGCAACCACTCCTGTTGTGAGAGAATTGGCCGTCTGCAAGGACATTGCCCAGGGGACGCCTGGATGATTTTTGATGTTTTATCATCCTTGTGGGAGGCTTCTCTCATGTACCCGCATGAGGAGCTGGAGCTGATAGAGGGAACTCATCTGCCTCTCCCCAGATTCGAACCTGCGACCTGTCAGTCTTCAATTCTGCCGGCATAGGGCTTTAACCCACTGCGCCACCGGGGGCTCGTCATAAGGACTGCAAAACAGCTTTGGGGTGTATTGTGAGAGGCTCCAGAGCTTTCCTGGTTTCACCATGGGGAATCTAAACATACTGATGAGGAAGTATCCCAAATCTGGAGTGTTGTGTGGTTTCCAGGCTGTATTGCTGTGTTCTAGTAGCATTGATAGAACATGGCCATACAACCCAGAAACCACACAACACTCCAGATTTGGGATACTTACTCATCAGTATGTGTAGATTCCCCATGGTGAAACCAGGAAAGCTCTGGAGCAGGTTTTTCTGGATTATTTCAGCAGGTGTAGATGCAACCTCTATTATACTTCACAGTTTGCATTTCTCTGAATTTTGCAAGGTAAGTCTCCAACTCTCCCCAGTATTCTTTATGGGAGATCAAGGGGGATAATCTTGTAGCATTCCTCACTGCTCTGGTGCTGGCTAGAGGCGCTTGAAGTTGAACCTAAATACCCTCGAGACCTCATCATTTCCATCTCTGAGCTGTACCTTTGCTCTTGGACAGCTGTATGTGGAATTCTTGCCTTTTGCCTCACAGTAACATTTCTTGGGCCATCCTTAACTCAATGGGATTAATAAACTACCTCTCCCACTTTCAGGTCCTCTTTTGGCAGGGCTGTATATTATATATTTTAAATAAACACATTTTAAAAATGTTTTAAAACACATGTATTTCCTCATTAGTGGAGCAGTCAGTTCCTAAGACTGACAGGAAAATATGATATAAATAATAAATTAAATTTTAAGTAAAGACCAGGATAGGTTATCCTTTCAGAAAAGCCCAAGCAACTATAAACAATCAACCAACCGTGGCAATAGATGGACCATCACATTTTATCACTGTACTTACTGTGAAAGAGAGTAAGGGTTATTCAAATTTGTATTTGTACACCTCCGTTGTGGTTAAAGATTGTTTATGTTGCTGGGAAAGACTGAATGAGTCCTGAGTTCAGTTAAGGATGGACCAATCTGTCAGTCTGGGGTTTTCCTTTTCTGAATGCCCATTTACACTACAGAATTCATCTTTGATCCCCTGGGAACCATGTCTTCAAACTAGATAGATATAGGATGGAGCTTTCATAGCTAAAAATTGTTTCAAACACTTCTATAACTGTGTGGTATTGATAGACTTTGAGATTCTAAACAGTCTGCATGATGCTGACTCAAACTTTATTACAAATGTCCTTTTATCATCTTGTTTATTGTTTTACCAAGAGCTAAGTTCTTTGAGCCCAGACTAAAACTAAGTGTGGGCGAAACTGTCCAGGGAAAATTACCAAAAATTTTGGGGTTTTTTTTTGGGGGGGGGGAGGTCTAGCTCATAGCATATGGAACCACACAGTCTCTACATGTAATGCTCATAGCATAGTGGAAGAACACAATTTTCTTAAAGCTTGGAAATAACTACCTATAAATACCACACTACTTGTAATTAATGATATATGCAATAAAGAATAATATGGTTACATTATATAATTACTCAAGAGAGGAAAACTTTATTCCTTTTGGAGGGTAACTTGTAACTTATAGTTAAGGGAACCAGAGATCACAAAATGGTGGAGAAAGAATAGCACACAGTGTTGGAGTTGCTTGTGGTGTGCTTTGTACTTTTGCTTTGGGTTGTCTTATGGATGTTGAGATGACAACAAAGTGCATTGGAGAAAAATATGTTTTATAATACAGAACATCAATCAGTAGTGTTCTTATTTTTTAATAACGGAAAACATACATTTTAGTTAGCTTTAAGAATCTAGAAAGGGAAAAAAAGTTAAAACCTTCAACAGTAACTAACTACTTTGTGGATAGGGTGATTATAACTGTAAATTATCTTCAACTTTCCAAGGTCTGGTTTAGCATGGAAAAGTTCTCTGGCTCAATTTTCTGTACTCCTTTGTGAGGATTAGTGGTGCAACATTTTTGCAAAAGTGGAAAAATCGTGAATATAAATAAAAGCTGTGAATGCTATATTTTTCCCTGAGAGAACACTAGTCTAAGCATTTGTAAGTTCTCCATCATCATCATCATCATCATCATCATCATCATCATCATCATCATCATCATCATCATCATCATCATCAGATTAGTACACAACAAACAAGATCACTATGCTGGCCATTGTACTGAATCACACATCTGACACTTCCCAAGTGTCTAGGACTATGTGATGTATCAGCATATAATGCATGCAGATTCCAGTAAGGTGGCCTTCTGCAGCTGGCAGATGGTAATTTTGTCAGTGCCGATTGTGTTTAAGTGCAGGCCAAGGTCTTTAGGCACTGTACCCAGTGTGCCAATCACCACTGGGACCACCTTGACTGGCTTGTGCCAGAGTCTTTGCAGTGTGATCTTTAAATCCTCATATTATATTAGCTTTTCCAGTTGTTTATCTTCAATCCTGCTGTCACCTGGGATTGCAACATTGACGAACCATACTTTGTTTTTTAACACAATCGTGAGGTCAGGAGTATTGTGCTCCAAAACTCTGTCAATCTGAATTCAGAAGAGTAGTTTGATGTGTTCGTTTTCTGTAACATTTTTCAGGTTTGTGATGCCACCAATTCTTTGTCACAGGCAGATGGTATTTGTGACACAAGTCCCAATTAATCATCTGAGCAACAGTGTTATGCCTCTGCTTGTAGTCTGTCTGCGTGATCTTGCAGCAGCTGAGGATGTGATCTATCTTTTTGTCTGCTTCCTTGCAGAGTCTACACTTGGGATCTGTCATTGACTTTTCAATTCTGGCTTTGATGGCATTTGTTCTAGTTGCTTGCTCTTGGGTTGCCAGGCCCTCCGTCTCCTTTTTCAAGGTTCCATTTGTGAGCCACATCCATGTTTTTTCTTTGTCAATTTTTTCAAAGTTTTTCTCAGGAACTGTCCATGGAATGCCTTCTTTGTCAGTTTTCTCTTCTGCTCTGGATTGTATTTTTACGGTATTCCCTCTTTGTCTTTTGCACTTGAAGCCCTTTACTACTATTGACTTCCTTCAATGTTGGTTTTTGGCTGTCTTTCACAGAATCTGCCAGTGCATGTTTCTATTCTTGGCTATGGAATGCCCTACCCATTGACATCAGACAGGCCCCTTCGCTGCTGGCGTTTCGAAAGAAGGTTAAAACCTGGCTCTTTGAGCAAGCGTTTGGCTAATCAGCGCAATCGAACATAGGATGACGGTAAATTGAACATAGGAATGGCACAAGGATTATGAGACTGGATTTTGCTTTGTGATCGAGGCATTATGAATGATTAATTGTGTATTTGTTATTGTGTATGATGTGTTTTAATTGTTATTGTTGTGTTAATTTACATTGTGTAAACCGCATTGAGTCGCCTAATTAGGTTGAGAAACGCGGTATAGAAATAAAGCAAATAAATAAATAAATAAATAATATTCTTCTACTGTCTGTTTCACTTGCAGAAGCCCTCTACCTCCTGATTTTCTGGACAGGTAAGTAGTAAAAGGTGGCACCTCTCGTCAAACTCAAATTTGACAGGTGGCCACGCCCACTTTGGGGGAAGGCCCCTCCCACGCCCCTCCCACGCCAACCCGGAAGTCCCGCCTCTCCTAAACAGGAAATGGATGCCCGAGAGGCACTCCCACGGCCTGAAACCCCACCCCGCTGCCCACCCCACCCCCACCCTAACCCATTGTGTGGAACATAGCATGGATAGACCTATCCCCAATGAAGGGCATGTGGAAATGAACAGCCCGGGGCCCGTGTGGTAGTTCTAAGATGACAACACGTGATGCATGGTAACCAATAGGGAATGGTTTAGGCCCTCAAGATGACCATGTGATAGTGGGGCCCAATAGGCGTTGTTTTTAGGGTTTAAATAACTGTACTAGAGTTTAGGGAGATGCTCTGACTATTTTGCAGAACAACACATAATATGGAATCACCCGCTGGACCTTCAACCTCTGCGAGCCTTTCAGTACCAGATGCCCCTAGAAAGAAACAGGCAACTATGAAGAGAACAGCTGAAAGCGACTACAGGTACTGGTCTTATCCAATCACGGATGGGGCAACAGAATTTTCCATACCGGGAACACCAGTGAGCAGTCCTAAAAAGCGGAGAGAATCCTCGAGTGCAAAACCGCCGACAAGGCTCAACTTATTACCGGGTCTTTATGCTGTGAAAAATAAATTCACGGATGTTGAGCCTGATTTTTATGGTCGGGGCACAGACCGTGTCGAATTGAAAAAGCTTTACCCTGAAATGCCGAGAATGCGATGTGGCGGCGCTGATGTGTCTGATAATGATGAAGGGTATGGAAGTCTGACTAATAACCTCGGCTACCTGGACGAAGAGCTAGTGCCTGATACAGATCCCTGGGATTTGAGAAAATGGCATTCCAAATTGCAGGAAAAACGCTGTGCGGAGGCTGAGGCTGAAAAGATGGATGAAGGAATGGACTGTAAAGCAGACTATAAGGATACTGAGAGTATGTGTGAAGAACCAAACCCAGACAGAAGCATTCGGAGGTCACTCCTATCTGATCTGATGAAGTATGCGGCAGAGGAAAAGGAAAACATGGCTGTTGATGAAAACACTTCTGACGGTTTTGAGAGTTCTAAGGTGAGCGTTAGAATGTCCAAACTGTGTATGTGTGGGAGGGGGTGGTGGGGTATGGTGTTAGGAAAGAGAGTGATGAAATTGTGTGCTGTAGACTCAATGCTATTTGTTTGATTTCCGTAGGGAAGTATCCACTTTTCGGGTGATGTGCGGAATCTTCAGATTGGGGACTCGCAGACCATGGAAGTGTCCATCATGTCCTGTCTTTAAAACAAATCCTGCAGAATAGAGATGCTATGTGTGTTTTCTCAATAAAATGAGTTTGATCTGTACCCGTGTGTTCATTTCATGCATTAAGCGTCATGTCCGAATACGATGAAATCCTAAAGAAAATATATTATTCGCCGGGGAAGGTAGGAAGTCTTGGAGGTGTTTGTCCGCTTTTTCAAGAAGTCAGAAAACGATGCAAAAGTGTGAGGAAGCGGGATGTTACTCAATGGTTATCCAAACAAGACAGTTACACGTTACACAGGCCAGCAAGGATCCATTTTAGAAGAAACAAGACTATTGTTTCTCATGTGGATTATCAATGGCAGGCAGATTTAGTGGATATGCAGCGACTTTCCAAGTTTAACCGTGGTTACAAATACATTTTAACGGTGATAGACATCTTGTCTAAATACGCATGGGGGGTACCTCTGAAGGATAAGTCGGCTAGAGAGGTGGCGGTGGGGTTTAATACTATCTTTACTCAAGATGGCCGAAAACATGAAAAATTACAGACAGATCGAGGCCGTGAGTTTCTAAACAAGTCAGTATCTGCCCTGTTGAAACATCATGGGGTCCATCATTTTGTCACCAACAATGAGGTTAAAGCTGGAGTTGTGGAGCGATTTAACAGAACTTTAAAAACAAAAATGTGGAGATATTTCACAGCTCATAACACATTTACCTACATCGATGTACTGCCTTTGTTACTCAAAAGTTATAACCACAGTTTTCACCGTACTATCAAAGCAAGACCCGTAGATGTTAATGACTCCAATGCTTTAGCCGTGTGGAGGGAAGTTTACGGGGCCCCTGTGAAAAGAATAGAGGTGAAGGTAAACCAAATCAGAAAAGGAGACCACGTGAGGATTTCCAAAAGCAAGGGTAAATTTGCTAAGGGGTACGAACAGAACTTTACCACAGAGATATTCATTGTGGACCAGGTTCTTCAAAAAACAGACAAGCCAGTGTTTCTTTTGAAAGATTATGGGGGTGAAGACGTCATAGGCAGCTTTTATACTGAAGAACTGCAAAAGATTAATACAGACAAAGACTGCATCTACAGGATTGAAAAAATTCTATCCACAAAAGGCCAGGGGGCGAGAAAGCAATGCTTAGTGAAATGGTTAGGATGGCCTAGCAAGTTCAACAGTTGGGTTCAGGCTTCCGAAGTAACAGAACTTGACTAGTTGAGAGCTTTTTTTATCCCTAAGGAAAGAAATGGGCGATGGTGGTTTTTATGTCACACTACCTAGCAACGCGAGTGCTAGAGCCTTTCCTGGGAACTCCATTTCAAGCTTCACTATATCATTAGCAAAACCTCTAGAGCTCTCGGGGGCCTGGGAAGTAGGACTAGTTGAGATACAGTATCCTCACACCTGGGATAATCTGACGACCCACCCAACTTTTACTATTGTACAAGAAGAAAAGAAGTGGGTCTTCTTTCTGGAGAACGGGTATTATTCTAACATCCCAGAGCTGTTGAGATATATGAACGAACGCATTACAGCACGATGGAACCCACTGAATGCGGTTCTTAAGTATGAACCAGTGAGCAGAAAGGTCCTACTTAAACCCGAGAATAAGTATACGATAGTAGCTGACAAGGAATTACAGTATATATTAGGGCTGCACCCCAACATTCCGGCCAATGAGTCAGCTTTCTCAGCAGACATCACAGGAGGATTCAACACCTTATATGTTTACACCGATATAGTGGAGCACCAGCTCGTTGGGGATTTCTACGTTCCTCTGCTGCGATGTGTGCCGGTGCAAGGGAAGAATAACGATCGTATCAACATCTGTTACGATAAACCCCACTACATCCCCGTGAGCAAACACCACATAGACACTCTCACTGTTGAGATAAAGTCAGACCAGAACAAAAATGTACCATTTCGTTTTGGAAAGGTGATCGTGAAGCTGCACTTCCGACCTAGGAGGGCCTGGGATCTTTAAAATGGCCATCTTGAAATCCTATGGGGATCCTGGGCTTTATAAAAACTATTACAGAGCACAAGCTGGAAACGGTCTACCGGGGTATCATGGTATTCCACAAATGTATGGAACGGGCCTAGGTGGGATTTTCAGAAGCCTTTTCCGAAAAGCTGTACCACTTTTGAGAAGAGGTTTTGACATCATCAAACCCCACGCAAAAACAGCCGCACGTAATATAGCCAACGACATGGTCGGCCATATCACCCAAGCTGTTCTAAACAGAACAAGACCGGCAAACCCTCAAGAGGGGTCGGGCCTTATGTATATTAGAAGGAGAAGAGGGTTAAAAAGAAAAGCATCGCAACTGAGATTGAAAGGACCCCCGCACCCCATTAAAAGGAAAGTGCAACGTAGAAAGAAACCCCAGAAGCGTCGAGGAGCTAGAAAGAGGAGGAGGATACAGCCTACGAACGACATATTCTAAAAGGCAGCATGGCTTTTATTCACGGCTGTTCTGAAGAGTGCACCAAATCCGAACTTGATTTGTTTAGCATCGGGCCTACACAAACTAGTATTGAGAGAAGCCTTTATATTGAAGTTCCACCATTAACCGCTCTTACAGAATCCTCACCATTGGACTTTTTTATTGCTGGAAATGGTGAAGACTATATGGATCTCAACAACACGCTTTTATATCTGACGTGCAAAGTGGTGAATGAAGACGGGACAAACCTGGCCAACGGGGCCGCGGTAGGTCTTGTGAATTACCCGATAGCCTCCATTTTCAGCCAGTTAGATGTGACTTTAGGGGACCGACTCATCAGCCAAAGTAACAACTGCTATCCTTACAGAGCATACATTGAATCCGTGCTGAACTATGGCGAAGACACACTAGCCACGCAATTTACGGCTGGAGCTTTTTATAAAGACAATGCAGGGGAACACGAGATTACGGCTCTGGATGGAGCAAATAAAGGTTTTAGCAAAAGAGCATCCCTGGGAGCTGGTAGTAAAAAAATAGACTTGCTGGGTCATCTCCATGCTGACATGTTTTTCCAAGAAAAACTGCTGCTGAACGGTGTTGATGTGAAAATTAAACTTACCCGCAATAAAGATGCCTTCTGCTTAATGAGCAACGATGCAAACAAGCAATACAAATTACAGATTTTATCAGCCTCCCTCTTTGTCAAAAAAGTGAAATTGACACCTGGCGTGCGCCTAGGACATGCTGAAGCCCTACTTACGTCTAATGCCAAATACCCTGTGGACCGTGTAAGCATGAAAGTATTCAGCATACCGGTAGGGAGCCGTGTCTCCAATCAAGAGAACCTGTTTTTGGGGCAACTTCCTAAGCAGGTGGTGCTAGGGCTCGTTGATAACGATTCTTTCAGCGGAGCGTACAGTAAAAACCCTTTCAACTTTAAGCATTATGACATCAATTTTGCGGCACTCTACCTGGATGGCGAGCAGTATCCTATGAAACCATTTCAACCCAATTTTGAAGAGGATAACTGTGTGAGAGAATATATGAGTTTAGTTCAGACTGCTGGCAAACACATGAGAGACAGTGCACTTTTAATTAACCGTGAGGAGTATGCAAAAGGCTACACACTCTTTGCGTTTGACCTGACTCCGGATCAAGAATGTGCAGACCATTACTCGCTGATTAAAACTGGAAACCTGAGGGCAGAACTGCGTTTCGCAAAGCCTCTGCCAACAACCGTCAATATGGTGGTTTACGGCGTCTTTGACAACGTGATAGAAATAAATCACAGGAGAAACGTCTTGTTTGATTATATGTGAAATGGATAGCCTGCAGTTAACTCGTCTACTAAGCTCAAACCCCTATACTCAAAACAGCTTCTATGGTGTGTTACCCTATGACAAACTTCCAAGAAAGCACATGCAGCAAAGACCATTAGCGCTGATTATCAATACTCATCCCCATAACCTTCCCGGAGAACACTGGTTAGCTGTTTACCTACCTAATGAAAGGACAGCTGAATTTTTTGACTCATATGGACACCCTCCTGACTATGCTTTGTTTCCCAAAGCCATTGTGAACTTTTTAAGAAGAAATGCCGTCAAAACAGTGTTTCAATGCAAACCTGTACAGGCCTCAGACTCAGTTGTTTGCGGACATCATTGCGCTTTTTTCATTCACCAACGTTGTATGGGAGAATCCTTTAAAAATATTAGCGCGTTATATTCCGACGATTTGGATAAAAATGACAAAATGGTTATGCGTTTTGTGAAGAAAATGAACACAAGGACCCGCTCCTCAGATATGTTTCAAACGTTGCAACAATGTATGTCCTGTAGTGCATTTCATAAACGTCTTTTAATAAAAAGACCCTCCTAGGGTGCTTTTGGAATATGATGTGTGTGGTTCTATTTTGTCTTTTTAAAAGAACAGGCAATGACAATAAAACCGAATTTAAGAAAAGAAGTATTTTATTTAGTGTAAATAAAATTATTATAAGCTGAGCCAGGTAGGAGAGCTAGCTTGGCGTTGCTCCCTAGAAGATTTGCGTCTTTGAACGGGGGGTGAACCCGTTGGGTTTTTTAAATAATCCAGGAATTGTCGATTGGTCGTATTACCTATCACGGATGTCGGGGTGTTTATTTCAGCCAGGGCTTTCATAAAATCATCCCACCCTTTAGGGAGACGTGTAACAGAAACTGCATTAGCTTGAGTTGCAGTTTTGACTAAGTCCAAGATGTTAGATCCGGGAATGACTTCTCCTTTATACACGAAGGATCCTTTATCATCCCATGTAGAAATATTCCTGTTTAGCTTTAATTTGTTGAGTATCAATCTTGCGTGATTCTTGTATTTAACAGGCAGGCTGTCTACCACTTCACGAAACACGTTGTCAGCAACGGGGGCTGTTGTTTCTTCAGCAGTTGGTTCAGGTAGAAACAGATTTAAATTTTGTTTCTCAGCATCCCTTTGTTTTAGATGGGTTAAATATTTTTGAAGTAAGGTATTGTAGAGTCGTGCTTTTTCATGTTCGGATAAATCAGTCCTGTGTAGAATCCCCTGCATTTCTCTATCTAGGGATGAGATGGCCGTAGTTCGTATGTTTTCATCCTTGGGAAGAGGGGTTCTTAATTGATCCAGCTG